TGGGGAGAGTGGATCTTATAACTCCCATTGACTGCCTCTACTTCGGGTCAAACGGTAGCCCTGGGCATCATCCAAGAGTGGGACTTACGTTTAATTAACCTATGGAACAGGTGCTTGAAGCAGGAATATTGACAACACGCCTTACCAACTTCCGAGGTGAGCGGATTGGAAAGAAATAGGATAGATGGCTGGTAGAAAAACGAGGATTTCCACCGAAACTCACACTATTAATCTAGAATGCTTTCATAAACATCGAGGTCGGGCCTGAAGAGCCCTCTTTTGATAATACTTTCAAAACCGATGCTTCAGTTTAGTTAAAACTGTGAAGTTCACCGAAGTAGACCTCATGAACCAACCAAACCCTTAAAGTGAACTATCCCTGTCCAGCCCTTGGCAGATTCCGAGGCGTTCATTAAAGAAATCAGCCATCGGATGAATCTTCTTACGGTGAACAAAAAGGCAAAAAGGAGGTTCCGTCCGCCGGGAAATGAGCTGCGGGATTAACATACTATCCGATTCACGCAATAGTTAAAAGTCGGCAGCCTCGGTGGGATTTGAACCCACCCTCTCTGGAGTTGGTTCAACTCCAATGGAGGCCGTCAAAATGTTCACAATTGAGTCAATTGAAATACTCAAAGCTGCGATCCCTCTCTTTATAAAATAATATCCTTAAACTACAAAGAGCAAAAGCTGCTGAAGCTACAACCCCAAAGTCCGACATCTTTAACATACTAATTTTAATTTGAAGCATTTGTTCACAGGTACAAATAAAATCAGGTGTACACAGCCTGTGTACGTTGCTGGAAGTCAGAAATGGTGCCGACTTCAACGGCCAGTCGACCATAAGGGTTTACTATCATACGTAAAATAGAGGAAGGCTAACATCATCAAGACTATGAAAGCAGAATATTTCGTCAATAATCCTGAGATTTTTAAACAAAGTTCAGCAGAAAAAATGAAATCTAGTGTGTTAACTGCGGTCAAAGAAGGAACACATAACTTGCTCATCTTAGCAATAAACAGAAGATAAACTGTGGCAAAAGGCGTAAGCAAATTCAGCTCGTCGAGTTCGTCTTTTTGATAAATAAACCCCACAACAGCCAGCTCTCACGGCGGTAAAAGAAAACCGCGAGATTGGGAACGAAAAAAAGAGGAAATAATTTAAATGCACGGCAAAATTTAAAAAAATGGAGTACGCACCTTGTCGAGAACCTCCTGGCCTTCAGCTTTATGGTCCACCTCGACATGGAAGACATGATTATCCGGTTGAGTTACGTAGCAGGTTACCAGTCCCGCGGCACTGTTCTGCAGATTAATATCCGCATGACCAGCGGCTTTAGTCCGGCTGACATCATCGGCGCGGCAAGCCAACGCCATACTTACAGTCTGTCCATTCAGTTCAAAAGTGCCAAAGAAAAAGCCACGTTAAAGCAGCAATTTTGGTAGTGCAGTTTAATAATCTTCTTTTTTGAAAATGCAAGTATATTTCAATGAGCAAATTAATGTAGACACCGAGAGCGAAGCCTGTAGTCAACTCCGCTGCTTTCCTAACGCGTGTAGTATCCACCTCCTTCCGGAGCGGCGGAGATACAGGAAAAGAATGACGAGCTGCAGGCGGACAGGGCTGGGGGAAAACGTGAACACCTTGCTGCTGGCCAATCAGAAGCAAGGCAGCTGTCAGCGGCCTTCAAAGCAGTGTACGCGTGCTGGCTGCCAGAATGCTTCTAGCTACGCATGATTACTCGGTCGGTGATTGGCTGAGCCCAGCCTTGACCCGTTTCCCGCCCAGCCAACATGCGTTTCCCGCACCGCGACCACTTGAGCAAACACGTGTGGACGCAGTGATCAGGGCAGGAGGTAGTCCGGACTTTTTGGCGCCGTTACGGTCAGTGTTCCGGCCCCAAGGAACGGTTTAGACGGTGAGTAATGGCTGTTCCGCTGCCAGAAAACAGGAATTTGGTTTTCGCGACTGTTTGCTATTTAATTAAAATGCGAGCTTGAAAAAGAAGCAAGAGCTACGTGCCTTAACGCGGCAAAAATGTGGAGACGAGTCCAGGGGCATAAGTGCTCGCGTATTCGCAAGTACACAGTACGAACATCACGTAACAGTCAGCTGGTATTCTAACCCACCTAGCTAGTCGGTAGAAACCTTATATCACATGTACTTCTCAGTGTCCAGATTTGAAGACGTGTTTATGATAAAAACTTAAGAAATGCCGTGGAAGGGTAAGTCATTTTCTGTTTAAAATACCAAATACATGGTGGGTTTCCTGATTTTTCCAGTGGTGGCTAACATCGCAATATCTAGTTGCATGTCCAGTAATGTTCAAGGATGTTATCAAGCCCGCATCCGACGCTGACAAGCAAACTGTAGCAATTAATCAGCCATCACCGCACCAATTAAGGCATCAAGCAGTGGCTACGGGAACTGACGATTAAAGTACACACACGGATGACCGCTACGAACTATAAATACCGTCCAACCTGGGCATGTATCACCCTTATCTGCACATGTCTCCGACCTTCCTACGGTTACCTATGATTA